GTGTGTGTGTGTGTGTGTGTGTGTGTGTGTGTGTGTGTGTGTGTGTGAAGCTTCAAGAGAACCACAGAGAAAGACAAGCACAGAAGATGGTCTTGGAAGCCCTGTTAAAAAGCCACATTCAGCCTCCAGGCAGCAAAACTTTAAAGGTAAAGCCGTGAGAGGTTCATCAGATCAACAGGTTACATGGGATTTCCAGGTAGCTTTACTGGACAAAGGGTTCAGAGCCAGCAAGAGAGGAGCTGCCAGCTTGAGGTGGGCACCAGTGGTTATGGTCCTAGGGAGCAGCAGTGAGGCTGCCACCTTCGTGTGGCTTTGGGAAACACAGAGGAAGGAGAATCACTTGATTAGGTGTGGGGATGATGTAGACTGCATTTAAGAACAACTCCACAGTTTCCTGGTCCTGGAGGTGCAGGGATGAGAGACAGCTCTGGGTTTTAGTGGGTGGTAAGTCTGAGCCCAAGAAAAGGAAAATATGTTGTTGGGAAACGCTGCTCATTCAGTGACCAAAATGGTTTTTATGTTATCAGGTTGATGGGTGTTTTGACCCAGAGAATTGGTGGCCAACTGAATATAGCAGAGCTGTTTAGTGGTAAAGCCTCAGGCTAGCCAGCCCAGTGGCTATCAGGAGCCAGATTCAAAGTTTACAGGTGGGGCTAGAGAGATGGTTCCGTGGCTAGGAGCACTGTCTGCTCTTCCAGAGGTCCTGATTCAATTCCCAGCAAGCAACCACATGGTGGCTCACAACCATCTATACTGGGATCAGATGCCCTCTTCTGGTGTGCAGGTATACATTCAGATAGAACATTCATGTACATAAAATAAGTAAATAAATAAATCTTAAAAAAACTTTACAGGCAGTCTTATTGTATACATTAGTTGATTGATATAGCGTTAACTGTTAGTGCGCCATTGAAGTCCTTCACATTAAAGTGAAGCTGTCCCTTCTTTGTTGTTGGAAATGAACTCAAACTTTGCAAACTAGAATCCACAAGCAGTTCTCTAGATAATACAGTCTCAGCCATCTAACTGCTCTGTGACTAGGCACAGACTCTTGGCGTGTTGTCTTTGTAAGCAGCATAACTGTGGGAGCTGAATGAGCCAACAGCTCCTGGTGCAAAGCACCCTGAGCTCTCCAGGAGCACAGCACATTTTAGTGTTGCCCCTGGAGTTTTACAAAAAGCTGAAAAGTCTCCATGAGTCATGGCAAGCAGGGTCTTGGCCTTGTAGTTAAGGCATCCAGTCTTCCTTTACAGGTGTGATGGTAAGCTTGACAGGACTCAGAATCACCAAGGGGGCAAATCTATGAGCATGTCTATGAGGGACTTTCCAGACTGGTGTAACGGGTGGAAAGACGCTTCCTGAGTATAGGCATCACAACCCCCAGAGCTGGGGTCTTGGGCTGAAAAGGAGACAGTGAGTGAACACCTGAGTTGATGTCACTCTGCTCCCTGTCTGTAGATACCATGTGACCAGCTGCGACACCTCTCCTGCATATGCTGAGCTCAAGTCCCTCCAACCATGACCCAGAATGAACCCTTCCTCCATTAAGTGGCTTTTGCCACAGTGACAAGAAAAATTATTGATACAGACAGCTTCTGAGAGGTTGGTCAGAAGGATTAGAAATGCATTTTTTTTAAGTTGGCTATGGATTTAATGTACGACTGCAGTGAGAAAGGGCAGAGGATGGGGAGCAGGAAGTTGTTATAACAACTTACCATGATATAAATGAAGAGAATTGTCTCAATGAAACCAGCAGGCAGGGCTTTAATATGACAAAGGTGTTAAGGAGGCAATTTATAAGAGGGGAGGTGATAGATAAAGATGTATAGTCTCACATGAATATAAAGAGATGTGAAGTAAAATGAATTCACGCTACAGTCTATAACTCATAGTTTGGAAATAGGATAGAGCATTATTGTAAGAATATGAAGAGAAAACTCATTGCAACGCAGTGCAGACCCACTCCATGGAGAAAGCCAGCAACAATAAGATTCTCTTGTATTTCTATCCAATAAAGTTAGCCCGGATAAAGACTCAGATAGAATAAACTGATATTCATCCCTGCAAAGATATTTGTATTAATGTGTTCCCAATTTTGCATCTATGAAAGTGAAAAACATTGATCCAGGCATGGTGGTACACATTTGTAACTCCAGAAATTGAGATACTGGGTACCACAAGTCTGAGGCCAACCTGGACTGCATAAGGAGACCACGTCTCATAAGAAAAAGTTAAGTACAAAATTGAAGTGGTTTAGTTGTCCACTTTTAAGTAATAGTATATGGTGCTATGTTTAATAGTCACAGCCATTAAAAATGACAAACTTTGAGTCTACAAATCCACTCATGAGTGCCTACTATATGACCGACAGAATAAGTCTATGTGTTCAGGATACAACAAAGGGCAAAAATACAAAAAGCCTGGCTCTGTTTGAACTTAATTCTAGAGGCAGGTATAGGAAAATATATTTTCAGAAAAATGATAACTTAGGAGCTGGAGAGATGGCTCAGTGTTTAAGAACTTTTGATGCTCTTCCAGAGGACCTGAATTTGGTTCCCAGCATCCTTGGGTAACTCACAACTGCCTGTAATTTCAGTTCTAGGGCAACAGATGCCCTCTTCTGTCCTCTGCAGGCTGGGAGGCAGGCAGGCAGGAAGGCACACATGCGCACTTGCAAACATGTTCCACATGCTAACAATATCTTTTCATAGCTGACCACATCAATTAACTCATTTCAGCAAGTAATTACTGAGGATTATAATTTTTATTAAATGATTTTGTTTCTCGTCTAATGGAAAACTTGGTCAAGCTACGGGTCATCAGGGCACTGTAATGTGGGCCTTCTAAGGAGAAAGAACAGAGACTAGTTTTGTACGCCTGGATTCATCAAAGCAGACTCAGCTCTCCACTTGTCCTTGAGGACGCAGTGAAGGCTCTACAGCAACCCTGCACAAGCAGAGTTGTGCTGGCTGTGTAGGAGGAACCCGCGGTCCAATAAGGCAACAGTCTATGTGTGCACTTGATCTAAACAGATTCATATTTAAAATAAAATTAGCATATTGCCCAAAATAACAAATAAACTATTTGGTGGCATATTGTTTTCTGGCACTTCAGATTCTTGCGGGAGTCAGTGGGCTTTGAGGCATATCCATTTGTACAGCACTTGTCTCGGGCATTTCTTGGTGAGGCCGGCATTTAAACATGGCAAAAATGGCTTTCCGAAACCTGCCATGAGCAAGAGAAAATGACTATTCTATAATGACATGAAAGTTTTAAAGCATTTTCAATTATGTCTAAGGAGCAACTACTGTGAATAAATACGCTAAATAAACCACTGCACCCAACTTAAAATATCTCCAGTTGAGAACCTTTCTAAATATATAGGACAGACAGTTAAAGACCAACTTTTGCACCATGACAAATGTGGAGGACACCTGATAGCTCAATAGCTATGTATGTTTAAGATGAAACATCAACTGCCCAATGAGTTACTGGGCAATGAGTTACTTGTTAAATTAAGGATCCATTTTCACAGGTCTGGCAAAGGCCAGTTGGATTTGAGGGCGCTTGAGAATGGCTGGTCCTTCCCAGAGAACCTTCAGCAGATTCTGACCTCCTGATATATCCTTGGTCTCCTTATGTGCTCTACCTCATCTTAAAGTCTCTGTGTGTTGTCATATATCTAGAGCTAAAACTGTTCACTCAAATCCCCACATTTAAACAGACACAGCAGCAGCATTCTGTGATTTACCAAGATTTAGCACGACAAATTGTTTCATCACCCGACAGTACTAGAGAACAAAATAATCTAAACTTCACCTAGGAGTTCTGAGAAGGGACAAGAACTTTTTATTATAGTCAGTGATCATCCACTCCTGTATACAACTGTATTATCCACTGAGAGTCCATTGCTGCCTTGTCTACTCTTTTCTCTGGAAAACACTATTCCATATACCTAGTAGGATAACACAGTCAAACCCAGCTAATCAGTGACTAGCCAGGAATTTGTCTGCCACGTGGTCATTTGAGATGAGGCTTGTCTTTGGATGCTGGTAGACTTTGGGTCTGGGTTGCCCAAGGACATTCCTGCCACCATGTGGGAAGAGTCTGTCACAAGAGTAGAACTCTCAATATATGAGGTCTTGGCACTTTCCAGTTGCCTAAGCCAAATAACTATAAACTAGTGTGCTGTGCTGGCTGCTTTGATGTCGACCTGACACAGGCTAGAATTGTCTGGGGAGGGAGAAGAACCTCACCTGAGAAAATGCCCCCATCAGACTGACCGGTGGACAAGCCTGTGGTGCATTTTCTTGATTGACTACTGGTGTGGGAGAGCCCAGCTCACCGTGGTCAGTGCCATAACTGAGCACGTGGTCCTGGGTGCTATAAGAAAGCAGGCTGAGTCGGGCACTGTGGCGCACTCCTGTGATCCCAGTGCTCAGGGAGGCAGCGACAGGTGGATCTCTGCGAGTTCGAGGCCAGCCTGGTCTACAAAGTGAGTTCAGGACAGCCAAGGCTACACAGAGAAACCCTGTCTCAAAAACAAAACAAAAAAGAAACAAAGAAAAGAAAAGCAGGCTGAGCAAGCCTGTAAGCACCACTCCTCCATAGCCTCTGCATTAACTCCTGCTTCTAGGTTTCTGCCCATCGTTCCTGCTCTGACTTCCCTGACTGTGATGTAGAACTCTGAGCTGAAATAAACTCTTTTCTCCACAAGTTGCTTTTGATCATCATATTTTATTACAGCATTAGAAACCCTAACCAAGACAGTTGTCATAGGCTTCTGTCCCTCGCCTGTGAATGTCTTAGAGCACTAGCCGCTGCCATTAACATTCTTTCTGTGTTACCATTTTATTCAGAAACATAATAAACACGACTTACTTCTTATTTGCAGCCACATAAATACAGGGGTTGTAGAATGTAGAGGATTTTGCAAACAGCGGGGCTATGATGGCCATTGAAGGAGGAATCTTTTTTGGGTCGCCAAAACAAGCCCATAAGCACACGATGGAATAAGGGGACCATGCCAGCAGAAACATCAGTATCATTATCACAGACATCTGCAAAAGAGATGATTACCAAGACTAGCATCTAAAAGGTTTGCATGGCTAAAACATCTACAACAGCAGGAAAAGCTACCTTAGAATTCTGTTGGTCACATAAAAAGAAGTTGCCTTCACTGTTTTTGTGTCGGCTCCTGAAGTCATCTGTGATAATAAGAGCCTTGCAAATGGCTGTATTAGCAACACATGACATTGTGTCTAAGAGTGTTAGACACTTCCAAAAAGCACCCTTTCATTGGATGTGCTGGCAAGAGCACAGGATGTTGGCTTCAAGCAAAGATGCATGCAAACTCTCTCCTATCAACTTTTAGTTTCACTGGCAATGGCTCAACCCCCTTGTTATTGCTAATCTCAATCCAACAAACTTTCCAAAGACAGTCCTATCTTAAGCTCAGTGGATTCTAACAGTAGCCACGCGGCTGAGTATTTTGCATGTAGACAATGTGAAAAGGAGCCTTTTGTACCTTTTTTTATATGATGAAGAGAAAGTCCCTGCTTACAGAGCAGCCCAACCAGGAGAAATCAAGGCACTCAAGGGTACAGGTAGACTTAGCTCCAAAGAGAAGATAAAGTGAACCATGTGTCTGGAGCATTTAAACAAACCGAAAGGGGAGAGACAGCTTCATAATGTAAACAAATACTGCTACCATGTTGCAGGATGAGAAGAAAGGCAGAGGGAAAGATGTGGGGACCGTCAGGACCAGGCTTGACAGGAATCCTCACAGTCTGTGCAATAGGAAGTCCAGGGATCACAGCTCACAGAGACAGCCAAGGAGCACATAGGCATAGTATTCAGCAACATGGGGACAAACAGCAGCAGAAAGAATTCGGGAGTAAAAACTGGGGGAGGCAGTGGAACTTTTCAGCTGTGTACATTTAAAACTTTATTACCAATACAGTTCAAGGACTTTGACCTCTCACCTTTGTTACCTCTGCCTGATCTGTCCAGTGTCTGTTGAGTTGTGCAGTGCAGTTACTAGCAGCATAAAGTCTCATGGATCGAGTGACATGATGATAACAATAAAACATCACTGTCAAGGGCACAATGAAATTCACCACAATAACCATCATGGTGTACGACACAAAAGAGCTGGAAATAAGAAAAAAACAATCGTGACAACTCACTGAATGCCTTAAATGGAGGAAAGGGGAAGAGAAAGTAATTGCTCGAAATAGTAACAGTCATTTTATTGTTGAACATAGCAGGCATAGGAGGAATGCTTGACTTACAGTTCCTAATTCAGTTAGACCACTAAACTATGGCTGATGGCTAGTTCCTGCCAGCCAACTATCTTTGTAAATAACATTTTATTAAAATGCAGTCATGGACATTCATTTACATACTTTTGATGGTTGCTTTCACAGTATGATAGCAGAGCTGAAGTGTAGCCTGAAGTTTGACTCTTTACATAAAAATATTTTAGAGAATTTTTTTGTTTTATTTTTGACTCACCTTTCATTTCCCTCAGTGAACTAAAGAACCCTCAATTCCATGGAAAACCTAGAGGCACATCATTAACTCATGGCGAATTCTTACAGGAACCCTTAGAATATGCTTGAATACCAGAGCATCTAGAAAAGACAGTACAGATGTGGCCTATGTTTTGGTTAGAATGGACTACTCTCTAGCTTCGCTAACATTCTTCCCATTTGTGATTCCAACTTTGAGATGAGTAAACAGTAGAAGAGTGTCCCCATTGCTGCCTAAATAGAGGACAGAGGAAGGAAAAAAGAGAGGAAACAAAGGGAGCCAGATGACCTTGACTTGCAAGCAAACATAACTCACTATTTTGTTTGTTTCCCACTTGGATGAAACCATCACTCCCAAGGAAGCCTTTGCTACAGTCTATTTAAGGAGCACTCAAATGAGGAGAAGGGTTAAGACGTATCAACCTCAGCATTTGATTATAAAATGTAAATGCTTCTCTTACCTATCATTTTTCCGCCAGTTGATGGTACAGGTAGCTCCCGTAGGGTCAGGGGCATAACTAGCCCACCCCACGATGGGCATCAAAGCCCAAAACAGGCCGTTGACCCAGGCGCCCAGGATCATGCTCAGGTAGGTGTTGGTGGTCATTCTTCTTCCTGTTGTGAAGCACACGAAGTATTAGTATTGTTCACAGTGATAGGTCTCACTTTGGTTCCACTGATGACTCAACACAGTCATCAAGTACATTCTCTACCTAGTACCATAAAGCACACAAAGCCTGTCTATGGGGCTTCACATTCTTACAAAAAAAAGGCAATCTGAAATCTGAATGACAGACGTGTGGAGGGTGAGCAGGAACAGAAGCTTTGCAGGCCAAGGAAAACAACACATACAGAAGTCTCAAAGGGTGAAACACCTAGCCAGTACCCTAAAGTGAGAGGGACCCAGGACGAAGCCAGAAAGGCAGCCAGGGCCAATCCTGAGGGGCCTTGAAGGATGTCTGTTGACATCTGGATTGAATTTTAAGTGTTGTGGGAAGCCATCAAAACTTTTGAACAAGGATTTCTAGAGAAATAAGACTGAACCTGATTACAAACTATTATATTTGTACTTTAAAAGGGTTACATGTTCAGTGGCTGTTACCTAATGAGAAAGACGAGAAACACACCATTACCTATATCAGGACAGCTGATGGTCAGGTACCGATCCACAGCTACAACTGTGAGTAAGCCAATGCTCACCATTCCAAAAAAGATGTTCAGTCCTGCATAAATCTGAAAATCAAAATTGGAAATAGTCTGTCATCCCAACACCCACCCACGAAACATTTACATTTTTTGTGTGTAATGGTGTGTATGTGTGTGTATGTACATATGTGTACATGTGGGTGCCGTGCCAAATGTGTGGAGGTCAGAGGACAGTTTCTGGAAGTTGGTGCCCTCCTAACGATGTGGGTTACAGAGAATGAAGCTGGGTTGTCAGGCTTGCAAATGGCAGGCGTTTTTACGTGCTGAGCCATCTTGCCAGCCCTACCCACTTTCAGCTTTGCCTCATTGTTAGAATACATCTCAAACATACTAAACGCCCGTACGGTGAAACAGTGGAACAAAGGCTACGGACGTAACCAATCATTTCTGGACTGCATTTGAGGCCTGCTCCATGGGAAGGAATTCGTGCATGATACTATAAACTTGGACAAAAGGTTCCTATCGCTGTTTTCTTCCTAAAGGGGCGTGTTGTTAGATTGCCTTCTGGACATCTGCTTATACATACACGTCAGGACTTCCCTGTACCCTTGGCCACAGAGGCTTCTCTCTGCAGTAGACAGCGGTTAATGCAGAGGCCCTTAACTGGTCAAAGCGCTGACAATAACTGGGTGCTCAGCCTTGAAAGGAACATCTTTATCAATTCCTCATGACAAAAAGCTCAGAGGACATCACAAAAGAGGTGGCGGAAAGGACGTAAGAACTGGAGGATGAGAAAGACTGTCATGCAATGTTATCTGCTGGACATGACATGGCCATTGCACTCATGAACTCGCTACAGTTATGGTTACCTGCGCAAAATCAAACCAAGATCAGTTAACACTTTGGTAGGCAGCTTCACACTCTATAACCCACTGAATGAAATTAGTGGATTACAGAGTGAGAGAGCAAGAGAGAGAGAGAGGGAGAGAGGAACAGGGGACAGAGAGATGTGTTGGTAATGCCTCAAGAGGAATAGGTGGAGGAAGGGTTGGGTGAATATGATTAAGATGTTTACATGTATAAAATTGTCAACGAGATAAAAGATAATCTGCTATGGTCTGGAAAAAAGGCTCATCAGTTACGAGAATTTTGTTGTTCTGGCAAAGGACCCCAGCATCGTGGCAGCTCTCAACTGACTGTAACTCCAGTCTCAGGGGATCAGATGCCCTCTTCTGAGCTCTGCGGGCACCAGGCATGGATATGGTACACACATACCTGCAGGCAAAACACATAAAAGAAGACAAATAAATAAATCTAGAATTGTTTAAGATAGTCTATTATGCTCATCCATGTTCATTGCTATGGTATTTATGACAGGATGAAAATGAAACCAAACTCAATGTCCATCAACAGATGACTGGATAATGAAAATGTGACCCATATACAAAATGGAATGTTACTCATCTGCAAAGAAAAAATAAAATTTGTGGGAAAAAATGGATGGACATGGGAAGTGTAATATTAAGAGAGGTGACCCAAACTCAAAACAAAAACTACATGTTCTCTCTCGTATGTGGATACTAGCCTGTAATATATTGCCTGTAATATAATGCATAAATGTAAACAGGTTCAGTGTACAGTGTATAACTTGAAAAGTAGACAAGGGACACTAGCATTAGGTGATGAGGAAGAATGGATATAAGCAAAAGGATAGAACACCTATGAAAAAGGATAGATACCTAATTGTTTTTCTATCTTTTAACTCTAGTATACATTTTTCTCTTTTCAGGATAGATAAGTAAATTTACTTTTCTTGGTACTGGAATAGAAAGAACCATAAAAACAAAATGTAATTGAGAGGAAAAACATAAAGCCATAGGCAAAGGTCTGCTGCATCTGAAATGCCATTCTGACTGTATAAAACTTCACTGGGCTGCACAGAGTTTGGGACTGGACAGTGTCTGAGTGGCTCCCTTAAACCAGCTGTGTGATGGGATTTTTTTGTTTGTTTGCTTGTTTGTTTGCTTGAGTCAATTAAAAGAAAGCGACTTTGTTTTCTACAAAAGAAGAATTAAACCTGATCTTATGTTTGATAGCTTCTTATATTTTGCTAGTTAGCATTTGCAATTAAAAGAATAAAGAATTAAACTCTGTGTGGTGGTACACACCTTTAGTCCCAGCACTCAAGAGGCAGAGGCAGGCAGATCTCTGAGTTTGAGGACAACCTGGTCTACAGACCTTCAACAGTTAAAAAACAAAACAAAACACTGTGGTAACATAAGTACATTTCTTAGAGGATATAATTACCACTAACTATTTTGTTTGATATGAAAGGGAATATACATTAAAATTTTTTAATATGTACATTTTATTTGAATATGCAGGTTATTTTTTTGTCTATAGTTGAATGTGAATTGTTTAGCTTCTTGGTTTCTTTTCTCTGGGTTTGAGGAATTTTATGACTGGTGATCTTACAAATCCTCTTAGAGAATGTATCCATGGGGTTGGAGAAATGGCTCAGCAGTTCAGAGCACTGGCTGCTCTTCCAACTGACCCGGAATTCAATTCCCAGCACCGCAGGACCATCTGTAACTCCAGTTCCAGGGGATCTACCACCCTCTTCTGGCCTCCAGCAGCATTGAACACATGGGGTACAAGACATATATGCAGCAAGACATATATGTAGGCAAAATACTCTACACATAAAATATAAATCATTATAAAAAAATAACTGTATTTCGTCCTTGCTAATCTATTTTCCACCAAAGCAATGAATCTATTATCCTACAATATCTTGTTTTGAATTATTGAATTTTTTTTGTTGCTTTGTACATGTGATGTATTTGTGTGTGTACATGTGTGTGCCGGTACACACACCGGTGTGTGAGTATTTGGAGGCCAGAGGTTGACACGGGTTCTCTATAGCTCTCCACTTTATTTTGTTTTTGATAGGGTCTCTCTCTCTGAACAGGGTGTTTAGCTAAACTGGCTTGCCAACAAGCTCTGGTCACCTGCCCGTCTCTGCCTCCCTCAAGCGAGGATAAAGGTGGGTATTACCATGCAGCTCACCTTGCTCCCGCAGCATGCACCTCTCCCACTGACCCACCTCCCTAGCCCCGGCTGGAATTTTTAAAAGACATTTAGGTTGGCATCTGTTTGCTTTACTTCACTTCGTTTTCATTCCAAAGATCTCCAGTACCTGACAGCCTGCATATCCAAATTTCCAACTTCCATGCAGATCTGAAGCAGCAGACATAGGATAGCCAATGCTACTGACCCCTATATCAGTGAAAGCCAGGTTAATAATCACTGCATTCGTGGGTGTCCGCAGGTCCTTGTACTTAATGAAGATGCTCAGAACTATTATGTTGCTGAGAATGCTTATTATACCTAAGGATACACACAAAAGGATCATGCATTTTAACTTCGAATGCTTAGAATAGAATAAAAATTGTTTTCTGGAAAACAGAAATGAAATTAAAAGACAAAGAACCTGTTGATTGCAGAAGCACTAAAGGCTGGCTTAAATGTCATCACCATTGACCATCTGTCCCTAAATTCCTCCTGTAGCTTTCACAGCTCCAAAATGTTGGTTTTTAGGATACAGGAACGACCAGCTACCCTCTCCTGTGGCAGACTAAATTTCTCCCCCAACCCCCTCCTCCTGTCCCAAAGTCTGGCCTCTTCTTTCTGCCTAGTTTCATTACTCAAGCCCAACCAGCATTCTATACTAATAGCACTTCTGTCACATTTTGTATTTTTTATTTGGTTCATTATCATGAACCACATTAAGTATGTAGTATGTAAGACCATGTAGCTTTCTGAGTTTAAGAAATTTTATTTCTTAAAATTCAACATGTCGAAATTCTTTATTCAACACACACACACACATGGGCACACAAACACACATGTGCAAACACACTACAGTAGAATGCATATTGCAATATTTGACCATCCACACAGGTCAAGCCAGATTTCTGGTTCACTGGAACGCCACAGGTGACACCATTCTCAGCCTTGGAATCAATAATTCAGCGTTTTCAGTGTCCCACAGTTGGCCAGGCTCAGGCACCTTTTTAGCTTGAGGACTAAAGTTACTAACCAGCATGCTACTGTGGCCATTGACAATAAGAACTATTATAGAGTCCACTGGGTGCCAATGTTAGCCAGATCAACATTTCCTACAGGCTGAAAGGATGTGAATGTTTTTCATGGGCCAGATGTAGGCTATCCTCCAGTCCCAATGGTGGAGGTTGCTGTGAAGATCAGTTTCAATGGAGAAGCTGGAACCATTACTGGACCTGACTCTAGAAGGAAGGTTATGTAACAAACAGAAGAGAATTATGTTTCCCATAAAAAGAACTACTTGATGAGCAATCAGCATCTACTGTCCAAGCCAGTGGGAATAATCCCAAACACCAAAAGATCAGAACACACAGAAAGATCAGACACACAGAAAGATCAGCTAAGTGAGAACTTATTTTCTGTCTTGGTACTTTCATCAAAACCTCATTAGCATCCTTTTACAGCAATCACCATTCTCTCTCCTCCACATAGCTAGTACAGTATGCTTGCTTCATAAAAGAATAAGCAATGGCTCTACTGAAAGCTTTGGGTACTCCCAGCTCTTGAGGAATGATAACCCCAAAGTCCTACTGTGATTTTCTAGGCTCTCTGCCCTAATCTGTTGTTATCCTCATACCACACATATGATGTAAGCCCACTGTTCTAGCAGTTGGTCAAATACATCAAATCTTGACTTTGTTATTTTTCCCACTTGAAATACCCTATGCTGTTCCTCTGTATATTCAAATGCTAGCCCACCTTCAAAATTCAGGCCAAGTCCAATTTATATAGTTAGTTAGTTAGTTAGTTAGTTAGTTAGTTAGTTAGTTAGTTAGTTAGTTAGTTAGTTAGTTAGT